TGTGTGGCAGAGGCAGGGCAGGCCAGGACGTCAGCAGGACCTGTCAGGTGTCACTTCATCTCTCGCACACTTTGTTAGAGGCTGACAGCCACTTTGCCATTACCATTGCAGGACCAATTATCTCTGCATTGCAGGAACAAGCCCCAGTTGGTACCCTCCTTCCTCACCCACTTGCCCTCTGCTATGGATCATTAAAACGATTTTGCACACACACAAGCACACACACACACACACACACACACACACACACATGTGCTTTCTCTCAATCTCAGTTGACTAGATGCAGCAAAGGTATTTTGCTGCATTAGTAAGTAAGCATAGCTCTAAGGCTGGGTAATCTGTAAGGGACTGCATAGGCCATTTGGTAGTTAACTGATTCCTGTGTTCCTGAGGGAAGAGATTTGACTATGAATTTGATCCTGGTCAGAAGAGGCTCTCTCTCATACGCTGAGAGTTGGTTCTGATGATCTTGCTGCAGCTGCTTTATACTGGATTTTGTGGGAATCCTTCCATGCAGCCTAATGATGACTGGATCCCTCTTCCAGTTCTCTTCCTTTGTCTTTTTTGCTCTTTGGCCTATTAGCATTCCTAAATGCATAGGGAAGGAGGAGTTTCAGTATAATAAGTATTGAGAACCTAAGCCATCGGTTTCTGCCAAATCTAGGCTTTTCTTTTTTTTTTTTTTTTTCCCCCTGTTGAAGCTTCTAGTTGTGTGGCTAGGGTAAAAGCTTTCCAAGTGCAGGCAATAATGCTTTTAAGTCTTCAGATTGTCTGTCTGTTTTTGCATCTTCTCGAAGCTTGTCCTGCAATAGCAATGAATGAGATTGATCTGTCACTTGGTTTCCTGCTATTCAGATGCAGCTGTGAGACTTGCAGCAAGCTGCTGTAAGCTATCCCTCTCCGCAGCATCAGAAGCAAGCTGCTGAGTTATTTTCAAGGGAAGAAATTATTTTAAAAGTCGGAGAAGTGTTGGAGTAGTGAGTTAATAAGGACGGGCAGGATTCATCAGATTAAATATAGACATTCATCTGGGCTGGCCATCTTCTTTCTTCACAGGCAGAGGGAAGAAAGAGGCAATTCTGAGATGTAGTTCATCACTGTCTTAAGCAGAAACGCTCCTATGGTTAACTCATGCTCTAGCACTGCCTCACTGCCCCTGATTACAAAGAGAGTCCGGGCTGACTGTCTCAAATGCAGGTGTCTGGGTTATAGTTATCGAAAGTTAGGTGAATTGGATCCCAGCCACGTGTCCAGGTGGTGGGTAGAAGAATAGAGATCTCCTTCTGGAGAGAGGAGAGGTAAGCCAAAGTGCCTTCCTATACCAGGGACGTTTCCCAGTTTTAATCCAGCGCCTTCTGCACTCTCCCCATGTTTGGGAGGATCCAAGAGGGCCGGTCTCCTACTGAAGTATTGCCCAGAGACATTGCCAGTGGGTTTTCCTCGTCACAGCTTTGAGGTTGGTTATTTTGGGGGGGAGTGGGGAGGACTTTATTCCTTTTTTCTGTGTATAATCCTTCAGTTGTACCTGTCAGGTGAACTTTTAGGCTTTACCATCTTGCTGCCAGTTTTACATCTACTCAAGGGGCCTTTCCTTGGAAGATGGCAAACAGAACAGTTATTATACAATGCTGCTTTCACCTCTGGCTCACCAAGCTGTTCTTTCTCTGTGACCCCCAGAGTGGTGAGGACGTTCTTTTCAGAGGAGTTATTGTGAGTGTGTAGCCAAGGTAATGCAATTATAGGCATAGCTGGTAACACCACCTATAATTAAAACTGATTAACTGTCCCTATTATATGGCCCTCTTTTTTTAGTTGCTTACAGTTTAGTGGTTCAGACTGGAATTTTCCATGCTATGTGTCTGCCTCCAGCTGGATCTTTTTGAATTCTTTTCCAGCTATTTCAGGGAACGAGCTTTACAGAGGGGGAAAAAAGACATTGTGTCCATGGCTTTTCTGTAATACTCCAAGACCTGTTTAACTGAGACACTCTAGCTGGATGTGCTTTTTTGCTACCCTCATGAAACTCTCCGTATGTGGCCAGCTTACGAGGCTCTGAAAAGCTCATACCCGAGAGACTTGTTGGAGGGCGGCAGTTAATTTTTCCAAGGCCTTAATGCATACTATAGCCATGTATCCCCATAGAGCAGCCCCACAGTATATCCAGGTCAACTGCAGTGATTGATCAAGACCTCTCCTGCAAGTGCTTTTCCCAGGATAGTGCCACTAAAGAGAAGGAAGACTCCTCTGCTCCATCTCTGCTCTTTGTATTGGGGCAGTACGGAGGAGACCACAGCCTGACTTGAATACTGAGAAGTATTCATTTGGGACAAAAAAGTAGAGCCAGCAGTGGGAGGGGAAAAAGCACAAAAAGAGGTGTAGCCTTGGACAGCAGGCAAGAGGGTCTGTAGACAATGACTGGATCTTGGAACTGAACCCAGGCCTGTGCGCCAACACTTCTCTGCTGTCCAGCAAATCTGGAGAAAGTTGTTTGGTGAAAGGGTGTTTGTCCTTTGCTGTTGAGCCGCTAGGAGGAGCATGCATTCTGCTGCTGCTGGCTGGCTCTGCGCTGCAGGTCTAAAAGCTGCAGCCATGATCTCTGCGGGTTCCCCGGGGCTAGAACTGCAGATGTTTAGAATTTTTGTAAAAGTTTTGGAGCTGTACTAAAAAAGAAAGTTGGAAAAGTCCGGAGAATAACAAAAAAAGGGGGGGGGAGGGGAGGGAAATCAGGGTAGAGGGAAGGGTGTTTGTTCTCTGTATTACATTCATTAGGTGAATACCACCTTTTTATATGCACAGAATCCTAACTCTGTGATCACATCGTTCTGCTTTCTGCAGGGTTTGTCCAGTACAGACAGCGCACTGTAGATTGAGAGTTGTGTATGCAGGGAAGCTGTTGTCTGCAGGGTCCAGCAAGGGTCCTGCTCGTTCATGGAATAAAGCAGGCAGTTGCTGAAAGATCATCTTGGGTTGCTGCTAGCAAGCCACTCTGGAGAAGCAGAATTTGTGTTCGCTTCTGCAGAGCTCCCGTGGGGCGCACAGCAAATCTCTTAGGGCAAAGCATTCTACTCCTGCTCCCCTCTGGGTCCCACTTACTTTCTGGGTGTCTAGGATGGTGTGTGTGGGGTGAAGCAGTAAAATCAGTAAGCAAACATTAGGTTACAGTTGGAGTCTGTGGTTTTAGGAGCTAATAATGCTATAAAGTTCAGAGTGTGCTGCAATTCAAGCCCATGGCATCTGACTGGTTGCTGAAAATCAGTGGAGATGTTTTAAGCCTTAATTGCACTGAGTCAAAGACGATATTAACAAGGGGGAAATTTAAGCAGACTGAGCTGGTTTTCCTAGGCCACCCTCTGTGATCAACGAAGAGAGAGGGAGGCTCCTCCAGGGGAGCTGAGTTAAATTAGAAGTCGCCTGGAATCTTTCGTCTTTCAGTGACGATGGCTGGATCCGGGGGGGGGGGGGGGGGGTTTTTGTTGTGTGGGGACGGGGGGTGTGTGCGGGGGGGGGGGGGGCGGATGAGCCGTCCTACCCTGGAGTTAGCCTTTGTGAATATCTCATCAGTGTGAGCCCATCATGGAGACCTGTGGAGAGAGATGAGCCTGGTATCTTCCAAAACACTCAAACTGTGGGGAGACTTTCAGGGATTTGTAGCTGTGGGCAGTCAGGGCTGTGACGGAGCAGTGCATGGGGAACAAGGCACTGTGTACGTGTAGGATGCTGCTAGTACACTCGTGAATAAAATGAATTTAGATCTTGTTCCATGGTCTCTTCCTGTGCAGGTTTTCTGAAAGTACAGCATGTGTTTAGTTAGTTTGTTTAGTACTGTGAAGATGGATGTCCTTGAAAGCAAGATGAGATTGGTTCAGGCAGTGGTACTAGGGTATTTTTCAACTTCTGAGAGTTTGGTTTTCACAGCTTCAGTGCCTTTTTAATGGAGATACAGGGATGTAACGGACACGAAGGCTTCTGTCTACGTTTCTCTTCAGGTTACTGTCTGCTAAATAGTTGCCACCAGTAATTTTTCTCTACAAATTGCTGCTTTTCCCTAGGTACGTTATCAGAACATCCACATGAATTGTTCTGTTGTGGCAGCAGTAGCTGGTAACATCCTGCTTGGAAGGAAAACAGTCCACTAATTCTATTGGGATTTAACATAAAAAGAACAGCTCTGAGTTGAAGGGACTGGAGGGATTGTCGCTAGCTGTCAGTGCTTAAGGGCAGTGGATGCGATGTGTGAGGGCTTCCTTTCCTTTGCTCTCACCAGCAGGTTGCCGTGATAACATCTCTTCTGTTGCAGATGGATGTACCCCGCTTATGTTGGCATCTCTGCGTGTGGGCAGCTCTGATATTAGCGAAGATGATGAGGATGCAGAAGATTCCTCGGCAAATATAATAACAGATCTGATCTACCAAGGTGCCAACCTACAAGCCCAAACAGACCGTACTGGGGAGATGGCACTGCACTTAGCAGCCCGTTACTCAAGAGCAGATGCTGCAAAACGTTTGCTGGATGCTGGTGCAGATGCTAATGCACGGGACAACATGGGACGGACTCCCCTGCATGCAGCTGTAGCTGCTGATGCGCAGGGTGTCTTCCAGGTACAGCATTTAAAGAACTCCCTTTAGAGCAGTTGTACTCTGTAACTTCTGAGCCTGCCCAGGCTGTGCTCTGTTCAATCGCAGCCCTGCTCTTGTGCCTTGCACAGCACGATGGCTAGTTGAAACTATTACGTATCCGGTTTCCTCGGATATTCATAGTTTGAAGAACTCAGTAAGCACAAATAATCTTTCATGTATTTATGTTAGGTCTGTTTGCTTCTACGTCACTCTTACTCGTTATCTGTGTCCTTGCGTTTCAGCCGTCACACTGCCATTTCATTATAAATTTCTCTTGAGTTTGTCATAAATCCTCAGTCTCACTCCTTAGCGGTATTGAAAAAATCTTTCTTCCCCTCTTGTCTAGATCTTGATCCGTAACAGAGTGACAGACTTGGATGCCCGGATGAATGATGGAACAACCCCGTTAATTCTGGCTGCGCGGTTGGCTGTGGAAGGAATGGTGGCTGAGCTAATTAATTGCCAGGCAGATGTGAATGCAGTGGATGACCATGGTAATGTGGGCATGAGGTCCTGGGGTGGGCAGGCATTTATCATGGTGTGAGCGAGGAGGGGTGGGCTTCCGCTCTTGCAGAGCGCAGGCTGCTCATGAGTTCTGTAGCCAAATACAGCATGCAGTGTCTCCTGTGGAAGCTCCTGTCCAGCAGTAATTGACTGCAGGTGACTGCAAGGTGGTTTAGTTAAGACGGTCCTGGAAGGGAAGCAGGAGAAATATAGGGCTGGTTATGCTAGGGTCTTCTGTGTTGTAGACATGACACTGTGGGGTCGGTTATTTAAGGAAATCTCAAAGCCTGTGCTGAGAATCCCATCACATCATGGAAATGTAGGAGTACGTCACAATATGTGTACGTCTCCCACTGTGTAAGCGTGTCCTTGAGGACATACCCTCCTGCGAGTTGTGATGTAGGACCTTAGTTTTTTTTCTTCTCCAAGTGTACTCTGTTGTCCATCTTGGTGCTTTAAAAAAAGAGCTCCTCAGCTTGTTACTGAAGTTGTTGGGTTTCCCTTTAGGTAAATCTGCTCTTCACTGGGCTGCTGCTGTCAACAATGTGGAAGCAACACTGGTGCTGCTGAAGAACGGAGCCAACAGAGACATGCAGGATAACAAGGTATAGTATGGGTGTGCTCAGCATGGCTGTTGTTTCTCACTCAAAGCATCTCGTTGCTGTTGGAAGCGAGCTAAGCCTGGACTTTCTAAACTGCCTGCTCAGTCCAGGTCTTTCAAACCCAGGCCATGACTGGAACTCTCCCAAAATGTTGAATGATTTTTGATTTGGGAGATCAGTGTTGCCCTGCTTTTGTTGCAGAAAGGAATGCAGTCAGCAGTCAGTGGTGTGAGAGCACCAGGCTGAAATGCTGCTCGTGCCAAGCAGCTGAATTCTTCCGTTTATCAGAGAGCCAGATCTGGTGACATAGCAGCAGTCACCTCCTGTCGCGTTATCAGGGGCTCCACTGCAGCCCCTCTGTTTGAGAGGCAGACTGCACTGTGCAAGCCTCCTGTTGTTTCATTGCTCTTAGGTTTTTTGCTGTGTGTTAATGCTTGATTTCCTTCTTCTGTTTCGAGTTTCGTTTTTTGGCATGTTGCTCAGTAGACTTCAGAACTACCTGCAAGCTCTAGTTCTTTGCTAGACTATTTTAGTCTTTGTGCCTTCCCCTCCTGGGAGATGATGGGAGAAGGGCGCCAGGTGCTGTTACAGTTCCTCAAAGGACCCATGACAGAACAGTGCGCTTCCTGGTGGGATAGCGTCGCCTGTGTGTTCCACTCTCGTGTATGAAATCACCAGACTGCTCCTGTAGTCTGCCTCGTTCGAAGAGCATCTCCCGGAGCAAGGTGTTCTTAGAGGCAGTTAGCAATACGCCACATTAGGACTATGCTTCCGTGTGATACTGCACCCTTCAGGGAGCATTAGCTAGAAGTCAGGCCCCCCGTAGCGATATGTTTCCCTCTAAGTCTGGTATACCAGCTAAGCCGTGAAATATCTCCTCTGTGTGATTTCAGGAGGAGACACCACTCTTCCTTGCTGCTCGGGAAGGCAGTTTCGAAGCAGCAAAGATCTTGCTGGACCATTTTGCCAATCGAGACATCACAGACCACATGGATCGTCTGCCCCGGGATGTGGCCCAGGACCGGATGCACCATGACATAGTGCAGCTTCTAAATGAGTACAATGTAGCGCACAGCCCTGCTGGGCACCCAGGTGCCATGCTGAACTCTGCTCTCTCCCCAGTCATTTGTGGCCCAAACAGATCCTTCCTCAATCTGAAGCACGCTTCATTAAGCAAGAAGTCACGAAAACCGAATGCTAAAGGCATCATGCCCACGAACCTCACCAAAGATGCGAAGAGGAGAAGGAAGAAGTCCCTCAGTGAGAGCAAAGGGCAGTTTTCAGAGAGCTCAGTGACCCTGTCGCCAGTCGATTCCCTAGAATCGCCCCATGCTTTTGTATCTGAACCAACATCCTCTCCTGTGATGCCGTCACCGGGGGTGCTACACTCGTCCCCCAGCTCACTGCTGACTGCCCCTTCGGTGCAGGCCGCGCACGCGATGTCCTTCTCTAACCTCCATGAGATGCAGCCGTTAGGACGTGGATCTGGCACCGTGCTCCCGTCTGTCAGCCAGCTGCTTTCGCAGCACAGAACCACCCCTCCAAACAGCGGGCTCAGCAGGCTCCGGCCAGCCACTGTTTCCACCGAGTGGATGAATCGTATGGAAATGAACGAATCCCAGTACAACGAGATGTTTGGCATGGTGCCCCAGGTGATGCATTCACACCCCGGTGTTTCTCAGCAGAGCGGCTTGGTTCAAGCGGATGCAAAGCACATGGGAGTGTCCAGGGAGTCTCTGCCCCCTATCATGACTTTCCAGCTGGTTCCCAAGGGTGGCATAAACCAGCAAGCGCTGCCACAGCAGGCCCAGCCAAACTGTGCTCAGAACATGGCTGGTCCTCTTAGCTCCATGTACCAGATCCCAGATTTAGCTCAGCTGCCCAGTGCCTCATTCTCCATGGCTGCCATCCCTCAGCAGGATGGGCAGGTGGCTCAGACAATCCTCCCAGCCTACCACCAGTTCCAGAGCTCAATGGGAAAGTACCCCACGCCTCCGTCACAGCACAGCTGCTACTCCTCGGCCACAGAACGGACTCCTAGCCACAACCGGCACTTACAAGGGGAGCACCCATACCTGACTCCATCACCTGAATCTCCAGACCAGTGGTCAAGCTCTTCCCCACACTCTGCCTCCGACTGGTCTGATGTGGCAACCAGTCCCAGTAACAACCAGCGCGGGCCTGCAGCCGCTCACATGTCCGAGCAGCAGCGGAACAACATGCAGGTGTATGCCTGAAAACTGGCCAAGGTGAAGCCTATAAAGCGGACTCCAGAACTGATGAAGGTCTTCCAGATGGAAATGAAGAACCATTTTCATATCCAAGAGTCTTAATGAGCCCAGGCTGATTTTCGCTGGAGGGACTGTGGTTGCCATAGGCTTTTATACTTTCCTAAACAGAGAACTGTAGAAGCTGGTGATGGAGAAGACCAGTTGGGTCACTTCTAACCAAGTCCCTCGCACCTAGGGTGCGATTGCTGCCTCCACTGGATTCTCCAGTCTGCTTTTAAGTATGTTCCACCGTCTTCTTTGAGGAGACAGCTCTTCAGCTTAATGCATCTCACGGTCGTTTCTCCAGAAATTTAGCCAAAACCAGCTTTGTATGTTTGTTACTTACCTAACCTCTCTCTGAAGCACCTTCTACTAGTTCTCCTTGAGCTCAAGTTGCCTTGTCTTGACTCAGCTCAGAGCTGCACCCACATTCCTAGACCCCTCTTTCCCAGCTCTTCTCTTGCTCAGCAAGCAAGCCAGACTTCCTGAAACACCTGCAGGTCAAGTGACTGGAGCTGTCACCTTCTGTCATGCAGCCTCAGCCTTTCCTCTTCAAGAGCCTTTTTCTTTTACATACCCACTAATATCCCTGACCACGCTAACTGCCCATACCTCAAGTATCCTGAGATTATGTATATCCATACAGTCTTCTCTTGCCTCTGTTTTCTTTTCTCCCCCCTCCCCCCCCCCCCAAAAAAAAAAAAAATACTGGTCTGAGTTGGTCTTCCCCCTGCAGTGGCCTGCAGGCGCATCTCTCCTGTCTTTGTCTTCCATGAGACATACCTGACTGTTTTGACACACTACTCTTCCTGTGCCCCAGTAATGCCAGGTGTGCCTATGACAGCCTTCGCCTGCTCCTACATTGGAAGAGATGCCCTGGAAGTAAAACGGGACTGTTGTTGGGAAGCTTTTGGGATCAGAATGAGTGTTTCAAAACCTAGTGAAATAAATTCCTAGCATCATCGCACAGAACTGCCCTCTCCTCCGAGAGTTGCTGTGTGTCTTACCTTACAGGTATCATATGCTGCCTCTATGGTATTATCCAAAAGCGCTAAGGATGTTGTTACGTGTTTGCAGTGTGTGTCGTTCTGTGTCATGAAACCTGCAGTCTCGTGAAAGGGTGACGAGCCCCTTGAAAGTGGCTGTTTCACTCCAGTCCTGGGACAGCGCTGCCTTGTCCACCCCTTCCAAAAGGGAAGCTGCAGCACTGACTCCTGAAAGGCTTCAGGCAGTGGCAGCACATCTGAAACCAGGAGCTGGGTTAAGTTGCAGACCAAACAATTCAGAAACCGTTATCTAAAGCAGCTTGGTTAACAGGTTTGGGGCTGTGCTCTGCTCTCGGCCTATATCGAGACTTCCCGACGGTGGTGCCGTTCCTTACACGTGCTGTGGGACAGTGGTGGCATTGATGCTGCAGCTCCCTTGATGTTTTTGGAGCTACGGAAACCAGCTGTTGCTGACATTCGGTGGAATGCCATTGCTTCTCCTTTGTCTGCATCTCTGTGTTGCAAGAGTAACGCTTCCCTGAAGGGCTCTGGACAAGTCAAACGTAGAAGTGTACGTTTCTAGGGATGGTTTACTTCTACCTCCTTGGGGGAACCCTGCAAACAAGCTTTCCAAAGAGATCTGAGAGCTGTCAGCTGTTGCCAAAAGACAGAGGAGGCTGCTCCCATCTGAGCAGTGGTTATTTAGCATCCTACCATGTACAGTATTTCTTCCAATGTTTCTTTTCATCTTATTCAAGTCAAGAGTAAAGCTTTTTTTTTCTTTTTTTTTTTTTTTCTTCCTTGATTTGACTCAATGGTACATGAAGGCAGGGCCTCAGGAGAAGCTGGTTCCAGGGGCCATGTTTTTGGGCTGAAGTTTTTATTCTGAAGTTACTGCTTTTTATGACGCACACAGCATTCCCCGTCACACTGGCTGCAGTGTGTACTGTGAAGTTTAGACACAACTGACTCAGATTTCCGGGCAGGAGCCCTGACGCTCCGGGAGGTCTGTCCAGGTACATGTTTCACTGCAAATAATCAAGTGTTGCTAAATCCGTGCTAAAGAAACGGGGCTTTTCCTTGTTAGCCCCAAATAATCAAGTGCCTTTTTATATGTGTGGCTGCCTTTTACAAGATGCGTGCTCTCTGTGGCATGAAGCCAGTTTCGTGCCTGGTGTGTTAATATGATGGCCCTCTGCCTTTTTTTTTTTTTTTTTAACTACTTCTAAAGATAATATCTCCTTAAGGTGGTATTTTATCTCGTAAGTCGTAGAGTAACCATTCACACAGCAGCATTTTCCTATATTAATAATGGAAAATATTTGCTTATTTTTACATTTTTTATAAAAGTCTTTTATGAAAATAGTTGCTGCAAAATGTATAAGCAATTTTTATCCCCCGAATAAAGAGTATGTGCCCAGTGTCTTTGTGCTGCTGTTGTTATTTGTGTTCCTGGCTCTTGTGGCACAGGCAAAGGATTAGAAAGAGCTCACTGGTGTTTGATAGCCCTCAGACCCCTGCCGAGGGAGGACCTGTTAGTAGTGCTGCAGTCCAGGTGAGAAGAAACCTTTGGGGGATCAAGAGAGCTCTTTGCCATGGCTCAACGGCACACAACCCCCACCGTTTTGCTAAACCCATGGGAATTGTGCCTGGGAGCTGAAAGCATCCGAGCTCAAGCATAGGAGAAGGATCCTGGGTCTCTTGAAGAGCTGCGGAGGGGGTCAGAAACCAGCTGCCAAGCAGCTGTGCATACTGGAAAGGGTGGGGAGGAACTGGGACGTGACCTGTTTGAGGTACTTTGACCAAGAGCTTTTGCTTGCCTGGGAGTCTGAGAGCTGGCACGGGGCTGGGGCTTGTGTGCAGCTTTTAGAAAGGCTGGGGGCAAGGGTAGGTCAGGCAGTAGCTAGTGGAGACTTCCTGCGCTCTCCCTTTCAGACCTTGCTTGCTTCCCTGGGCACTTCACCGTTTCTCCAGCCAGGAAGGCAGAAAGAAGCTCATCCCTGGAGCTGTGAGGCTCCCTGTGTTTGGCTTGAGAGTCAACGCGTACAGGTGTGAAGCAGAGAAGCGTGCCTCATCCATGTTGGGCATTCGGGCTTGAAAAATCCGGGAACAAATTGACAAAGGCTTCATTCCTGTATTATGAGCAGGGAACTGTCACTGCAGCCTCGGGCCCAGCAAACGCTCACCTGGCAGGTTTTCTGTTCTTGCTGTGGAAGCTGCTGGAGGCGTTTTAGGGGGTTTAATATTCAAACACAGCAGCTCCTTTATCTTCTAGTAGAGCCAGCTCAGCAAGTAAATACCTGCAGGAGGCTTTCGTGCATGTTCTCCCACGGGTTGCATATCCGTGCCAAAGTTGAGAGAGCTCCGCTGTTCAGAGCAGCGCTGCCTTGCTGGCCCGGCTGCACCGAGTTTACCAGTGCTCAGGCTGAAACTTGAAACCGCAGGGATGGCACACGTGTGTCTTCCCCTGTTGGAGATGATCAGTAGTTTGTGAAAACTTAGTATATTGCATCCAAGCAGGCATAACTGAGTCAGCCAGGCAGGGAACTGAGTCACTCCTTATTTAATGGAGGAGTAATGGGGTCGCCTCAGGCTCCTTTGGGGGACGTTTCCATGCTTTTTGATAAAACGGGGGTGAAGGCTTGTCTGCGGGGCCGGGGGGGGGTGGGGGGTGCTCTGTAGAGCAACTGGTTTGTTGTGTAAGGTTGTTTCTTTCAGAAATGATGCCAGGCAGGTGCCTTGCTTGGAAATGGGACTTTACCCTCTTTTCTCCCCCGAGCGTGCCTAGCAAGCTCTCCGAGTTCGGAGCCGTCTTGGGGACGCAGCAGTGGCCGTAGCGCAGCGGCGTAGGCGAAGGAGCCCAGCCTGCTTCTGCTTCTTTCCCAGGATGAAAGCCGGACCTGCCTGCGCGGAAGAACGCCGGCCCCTGCCTGCCCCCCCCGGGGCGCAGCCGTTGCCTGTGGGTGTAGCAGCGCTCGATGCGCGTTTTTGGAAAACGCGCTGCCAAAAAGGAGCTGTGTGAGATCCCAGGAGGGCAGAGGACTTGGGTCCAGCCTGGTAGCGAGCAGTGACAGCTTTGGGCAGCGAAAAGCCTTCCCTCTCTGGCTGCTGGTGCTGCCCGTCCTCGCAGGGATGAGGGGCTCCGCGCGGGCTGGAGCTCTGCGACGAAGCAGCTTTGTGGGTAGCAGCGAGGCTCCCCGCTCGGGTAGGCA